GTTAATTAATTTATTTGTTTTTATATTTGCATATTTTATTTTTTATTGTTATTAGCAGATTTATCTTTGAAATAATTTATTTTAATTTATTTGCATCACAGTGTTGCCAGATTGTTTAAAGATATTTTATTTTATTCACAGTGTTACCAGGTTTTCTTTAAAATATTTTATTAGTTTTTTTATTTATTAAATGATAATTTTTTTATTTATTATTTTTGTAATTAACAGATTTATCTTTTAAAACAATTAATTAATTAATTAATTTATTTATTTATTTTTTATTATAAATACCATATTTATCTATAAGAACAATTTATCTTTATTTAATTTATTCAGTGTTACCAGAATTTCTTTAAACATATTTAAATTTATTTGCATCACAATGTTGCCAGATTGTTTAAAGTATTTTATTTTATTTTATTTTATTTTTATTTTTTTTATTTTATTTTATTTTATTTTATTTTATTTTATTTTATTTTATTCACAGTGTTACCAGGTTTTCTTTATAATAATTTTATGATTTTGATTAATTAATAATAGATTTGTTTATTTTATTTTTTATTGTAATTAGCAGATTTATCTTTAAAACGTTTTATTTTAATTTACTTTATTCACAGTGATACCAGAATTTCTTTAAAAAAAAAATTTTTTTTTTTGCATCACAGTGTTGCCAAATTGTTTGAAGATATTTTATTATTTCTTTCTTTAAAAACATATAATTTTATATTATATCATATTTTATTTAATTTTGATCACATTGTTACCAGATTATCTTAAAAATGCATTTTATTTTATTGGTCTATTTTATTCACATTGTAAAAAATATAGTGTTAAAAAATTCAATTATAAATTTGATAAATTTATACTGTAAAATGTTTCTACATAAAAAAAAATGCTTATAAATGTAGTTGTTTTTTTGTGTGTGTTGAACCCTTTAAAATGTAACTCAGTGATGAAGTGTTGGGTGTTGAAGTGTGTGTTGTGTGTTTTCCTCAGGGTCTGGTGCAGCAGAACGGTTCGTGTGTGCGGCCGGATCAGTGTGGTTGTGTTCATCTGCTCCTCCAGGATTCACACAAACCTGTGACCGTCACTGTCCCGCAGGGGGCGCTGCTCACCACCGGCTGCAGGACATGGTCAGACACTGCAGACTCACATCACACACTTACACTTCATTATCATTTCTATATTTGTAAACCTCATTATCCTGTGTGTGTTTCAGTCTCTGTCATGACGGCTCTCTGCAGTGTGATCTACGGGAATGTGAAGGTACATCTCAGATTGTAAACTTGATCAGACATCATCCTCATTTTATGTATATATATATATGTATATGTGTGTGTGTGTGTGTGTGTGTCAGTGGTGGTCAGCGAGTGGTCCTCCTGGAGCTCCTGTTCTCCGTGTGTGGATCTGCGGTCGGTGCAGCGCAGGTTTCGGGCGTGTCTGCATGTGGAGTCGGGTGAGCCGGTCAGCGGGAGTCAGTGTGATGAAGAGCTGGAGGAGGAGAGAGACTGTCCACATGCTGACGTCTGCAGAGGTGCGGCAACAGAACAACACACACACACACACATTCTGTAAAATACACATACACATAAACATATACACAATACACACACATATACATTTACACATGAACATACACATGCACATACACTCATAAACACATACACACACATCATCCTGCTGCAGCTGACCTACACACACACAGTGAATGTGGAGTATGTGTGTGTGTTTAGATGTGTGTGACTGGAGCTCGTGGAGCAGATGGAGTGTGTGTAAAGAGCCCTGCAGTGGAGGATTCAGACACAGAGAGAGACGACCTCTGACCTCTGACCCCAAACCACACTGTGCAGACCTGCAGAGCCAGAGTCAGAGCTGCAACACGGCCCTCTGCCCCGGTACACACAGAACTACCATTGTACCAGCTACTGTCTGTCCTACCTTCCTCTTCCTCTGTTTCTTTTTCTTCTTCTGTTTCTTTTTCTTATTTTTCTTTATCTTTTTTCTTTTTTTTCTTATTGTTCTGTTTTCTTTCTTCTTCTTTTTTCTTTTTTCTTTTTTTCTTATTTTATTTTCTTTTTTCTTTTCCTTTTTTCTTTTTCTTTTTTCCTTTTTCTTTTTTCTTTTTCATTTCTTTCCTTTTTCTTTTTTCTTTTTTTCTTACTTTTCTTTTTTCCTATTTCTTTTTCTTTTCCCTATTTCTTTATCTTTTTTTTCTTTTTCTTTACTTTTTTCTTTTCTTTTTAATTTTTAATATAAATATATAATATATTTTTAATATAAATATATATTTTTTTCGTTTTAATCTTTTTTCTTATTTTTTCCTTTTTCTTTCCTTTTTTCTTTTTTCTGCTTTTTCGTATTTTTTCATTTTTCTTTTTCATTTTTCTTATTTCCTTTGTCTTTTTCTTTGGTCTTTTTCTTTTCTTTTTTACTTTTCTTTTTTCTTTTTTCTTATTTTTTCTTTTCCTTTTTTCTTATTTTTTTCTTAATTTTCTTTCTTTCTTTTTTCTTTTCCTTTTTTCTTATTTTTTTCTTAATTTTCTTTCTTTCTTTTTTCTTTTCCTTTTTCTTATTCTTTTTCTTTATTTCCTATTTTTCTATTTCTTAGTTTTTTCTTTTTCTTCCTTACTTTTTCTTTTCTTTTTTCTTTTCTTTTTCTTTTTAACAATTTTTTCCTTTTTTCTTATTTTTTCCTTTTTCTTATATTTTCCTTTTTCTTATTTTTTCCTCTTTTTTCTTTTTTCCTTTTTCTTTACTTTTTTGTCCTTTTTCTTTTTTCTTATTTTTCTTCCTTTTCTTTTGTTTTGTCTTCTTTTTCTTTTTTCTTCTTTTTCGTCTTCTTTTTTTTCTTCTTCTTCTTTTCTTCTTCTTCTTCATTGTTTATTTGTACTCGGCAAATTAACCCTTAAAATCTTAGTTTAGAAACAAAAACAAAGACTCAAGCACACACTCCCATTAGACAGTGACTTTAGATTGTAATATATTAGTATTTTACTATTACGTTATTTCCACTTTACAACTAAGTAACACATTTAGCTATTTTTATTTGACTTTAGATTGGAATAAATTATTTTTTTTTACCAACACTGCTGATTATAAAGTATTACATTCCTTTACATAATTGACTTTCTTTAACAAATTTAATAACCTCGTCATATATCCTACTAGATCTTTTTTATAAATAATAAACTTTCAATTTACTGTATCTTTCTAGTATATTTGCTGTTTTGAATTTTTATTTTAAAAATAAGAATACTGACTCTCGTTTATCCGTTTTTGATTTTTTTTCTTATATAATAACCTTTTTGATCTATTGTTTGAACACCAACAATCTCATTTTTTTAAATTTTGTATTTCTGTTATATTCCCCCTTTAAAAATAACAAAAATAGTAAAACCAACAAACAAAAAGCTTAATCCAAACTTCTAACAAAATCTTTCTCTCCAATTTGGGGTTTTTGCTTACTGCATTATACAAAAAAAATCATATTATTTACACGTTTTGTTCATTTGTTTCATTGATTTGTTCTGTTGTCTATAAAATGCTGTGGATAAAATCATCTGCCACATGATGAAATGAAATATGCATCCAATCACAGGTGAGCATTGTGAGGACAGGGGGCGTGTCTTTGATGGCTCCTGTGCCAATCAGTGTCCTCGCAGCTGTGCAGATCTGTGGGACCATGTGCAGTGTCTACAGGGCGTCTGTCATCCAGGTAGCTGCTCTTCTCCAGCTTTCACAGATCATCTGATATATAAACAAGTAAAATGAACAGTTGAAATTGGCTCAGAACAGACCTGAAGAAAAAAATAAGCAAATTACTTTAATGTAAATTGACTGCCTTGATGCAAAAGCAACATCAAAATGACATCAAAAACACATCAGAAATGCAAATCATGATTTAATTCAATGTCGTTTTGAAATCATGGTGCCTGCTGGGGTGTCAGATTTGGTGTCAGTGTATGTGTTTGAGTTTGTTTTGTGTGCCGCAGGCTGCCGGTGTCCGCCTGGTCAGCTCCTGCAGGATGGAAGCTGTGTGCCGGTGGATGAGTGTCGCTGTGGGCTCCCGATGCAGAACGGGACACTGGAGATCCGGCCTGGAGAAAACATCACCCTCAGCTGCAACACCTGGTCAGAGGAACCTACTCTACTCTATATTTATTTATAGTACATACAGTTGAAGTCAGAATTATTCGCCCCCCTTTAATTTTATTTTATTTTTTATATTTCTCAAATGATGTTTAACAGAGCAAAGAAATGTTCACAGTATGTCTGATAATATATTTTCTTCTGAATAAAGTCTTATTTGTTTTATTTTGGCTAGAATAAAAGCATTTTTAAATTTTTTAATCACCATTTTAAAGTCAATATTATTAGCTCACTTCAGCAATATTTTTTTCGATAGTCTATAGAACAAACCATCATTATACAGTAACTTGCCTAATTACCCTAACCTGCCTAATTAACCTAATTACCCTAGTTAAGCCTTTAAATGTCACTTTAAGCTGTATAGAAGTGTCTTGAAGAATATCTAGTCTAATATTATTTACTGTCATCATGGCAAAGACAAAATAAATCAGTTATTAGAGATGAGTTATTAAATCTTTTACGATTAGAAATGTGTTGAAAAAAAAAATCTTCTCTCCGTTAAACAAAAATAAATGAATAAATAAACAGGGGGGCAAATAATATTGACTTCAACAGTATGTAGAATATATGTAGTACTATCCAAAAGTCCTAAGCACGATGCCAGCTTTGTTGGCCTAAGACTTTTGCGCAATATATAATCATAGTATAAATAGTCTCTATTTAAAACAAGGCAAGGCAAGATTATTTATACAGCACATTTCACACACAATGGTACCTTAAAAGTGCTTTACATAAACAGGAATAAAAGAGACATGAGTAAGAATAATAAAAGCAAATACCAAAAATGATTAAAAACAGATAAAAAAGTGTTAAACAGGTTATAAAAGAATGAAAAAGAAGAGAAAAACATATTAGTGCAATCTGTGGGTCGTAGCACAGTGCTCATTCAGTAAAGGCACAGCTAAACAGATGTGTTTCAGTCTTGATGTGAATGTGCCTAATGTTGGAGCACATCTGATCAGGTCTGAAAGCTGATTCCAGCAGCGGGGGGCGCTGTTAGTAGCTGAAAGCGGATTCACCGTGCTTTGACTGAACTCTTGGAACTTCTAATTTACTTGATCCTAAAGATCTGAGTGATCTGAAAACTGAAAAAACTGAAAATCTAAGAAATGTGTACAACATAAAAACAACACCAGCACAACATTTCCCCTTTAACCTAAAAACTCTGTTTAATGTGTCTTCCCTTGGAAAGGGGACTAATTTGTTCCAATTGTTTTGACATTTTCTTCTGCCGTCTTCGTTTTCTTGCTTCTTTTAGCACTTTCTAAAGTTCTTCTTAAGGTTTAGAGTGTCTTATCCTTCTTTTTCTGTCCTGGTGATCTCATACAGCCTCTATAATATTCAGGTGTGGACCCTGTGCAGGCCATTTCATGAGTGTCTGTATGTCATCAGCTGTTTTCTTTCTCCAAAGAGTATTTCCCTGCAACTAGCAGCTTTCAAAAACTTTTACCTCTTTATTGATTTGAACCAAGGGCGTCACGGTGGTGCAGTGGGTAGCACGACCGCCTCACATCAAGAAGGTCACTGGTTTGAGCCCTGGCTGGGCCAGTTGGCATTTCTGTGTGGAGTTTGGCATTTGGCAACACGATATTTCCCCGTGCTGGCGTGGGTTTTCTCCGGGTGCTCCGGTTTCCCCCACAGTCCAAACACATGGGCTATGGGTGAATTGAATAAGCTAAATTGGCTGTTGTATATGAGAGTGTATGGGTGTTTCCCAGTGTTGGGTTGCAGGTGGAAGGGCATCTGCTGGGTAAAACATGTACTGGATAAGTTGGCGATTCATTCCATTGTGGCGACCCCTAATTAAAAAATAATATGATTTGAACCATGTTATTGATTAAAACCTTCTCTATACTTGTAACCTAGTGGTTATTGCATCGACACACAGCACCGAGGTGCTCGCGGCAACCCGAATGAGCTTCCCAGCTCGAGGTCCTTTGCCGATCCTTCCCTGCTCCCCACACTTTACTGTCTGTAAATCTCCACTGACCTATCAGTAAGGTGAAAACCCCTTAAAATTTGCATAAATAACAAACCCCATGTCCTTTTTAACATTTACAATTCCATCATGTGTCTTTTTATACATGTATAAACTCACTCAAACACACATGTCGACATATAAATCGTTGACTCTCTTTCTCTGTGTGTCTCTGCAGTGTGTGTGTGAACGGCTCTCTGGTGTGTACGGATCATGTGTGTCCGCTGTACGGCTCATGGGGATCGTGGAGTGTGTGTTCGGTGTCGTGCGGGACAGGTCAGAGGACACGTGTGCGCTCCTGCACACACACCAGTGTAGGATTAAGCTGTACACACACCATCCAGTCCCAGAACTGCTCACTGAGCACCTGTCCAGGTCTGTAGACACTACTGTAAACTGTACTGCAATCAGTCTGTGCTGCTGTATTAATAAAGACATTATTTATCACACCTTCCATTCAAAATTCAAGATTTCTGTAGTGTAATATACAACACTAACCCAGACAACTGCAAATTATTAAATAATAAAGCACATGCTGGAATAGTTGGCGGTTCATTCCACTGTGGTGACCACTGATAAATAAGGGACTAAGCTGAAGGAAAGTAAATGAATGAATTGAGTTTTCAGCTTGAGATGTTTGTGCTTTACCTGTGTTTTCATTGATATTGTTTTGTCAGCTGGCTGTGTGTTGAGCGAGTGGTCATCCTGGAGCGACTGCAGCGCCTCATGTGGTGGAGGAGTGTCACTGCGCAGAAAAACTGTCCTACAGGAACCCGAAGCTGGGGGTGTGAGCTGCTCCGGACCCCTCGAACAGCACACCGCCTGCAATACTAACAGCTGCCTGCCTGGTACGAGACATAAGTCTATTACACAAACACACACACACACACACCCTCACACACACCAACCAACTGAACACAAACACAATAAAATGTGTCAGCTATAAAACCCTTCAAACACTCTTAAAGACTGTGATAATAACACCTCTGAAGTGCTCCGTCTTTATAGTTTATTATGCCATAAAACATAACAGCTTATGTTCATAACTCAAACTGACTGAATGGGTTTGCATCAGCCAGAAAAAAAATACATGTAGGCATTTTTTTTCATTGTGAAAGTGTGTGTGTGTTTTTGTTTACAGTAATTAATGTTTATAGGAAATAATGATTACCAATTTTTTTATGTTTATTAAGCTCATTGAGGTTTCAGTCAAGCAGACACTACATGATATTATGCACATACCTGACAAATTATATAAGCCTTTATTGCAGTTTTATTTTAAACAATAAAAATGTGTTTTGTCATTATATTAATGTTACTTCACAAAAAAAGAACTTAATTTGTCTAATGTGTAATGTGACATATGTTTGTGAACTCAGAATACCGCAATTCCACATTAATGTTTCTGTTGTATTTTAGTAGTATCCCAGTATGCATTTCCTCATTCAGCTATGACTTTTTCATAATTTTATACTGGAATAAATTATAACAACTGCACACAGTTTCAGTCTTTAACAGGTTTTATGATATTCACCCACACTGCGAAATAATAATAATAATAATAATAATAATAATAATAATAATAATAAATAATATTAACGATAATAATAATAATAATAATGATCAGAATAATAATAATAATAATAATAATAATAATAATAATAATAATCATTAATGATAATAATAATAATAATAATAATAATAATAGTTTTTATGAGATTCACACTTAATACAAAATACCACAACTACTACTAATAATAATACATTCATTTTGGGGGCACGGTGGCACAGTGGGTAGCACAATCGCCTCACAGCAGGAAGTTTGCTGGTTCGAGCCTCGGCTGAATCAGTTGGCATTTCTGTGTGGAGTTTGCACGTTCTCCCCTAGTGTTGGCGTGGGTTTCCTCCGGGTGCTTCGGTTTTCCCCCACAGTCCAAAAACACTTAACAATTGTGTAAGCTAAACTGTCCTTAGTGTATGTGTGTGAATGAGTGTGTATGGATGTTTCACAGTGATGGGTTGCGGCTGGAAGGGCATGTGCTGGATAACTTGGCAGTTCATTCCACTTTGGCGACCCCTGATGAATACAAGGACTAAGCCAAAAATGTTTTTATGAATGAATAATAATAATAATAATAATAATAATAATAATAATAATACATAACAATAATGATAATTATTAGTAATATTATAAATAATAATAATAATAATAATAGTAATAATAATTATAATAAATAACAACAATAAATAATAATAATAATAATAGTAATATCAATGATAATAATAATAATTATAATAATGATAGCAATGATAATAATAATAATAATAATAATAATAATAATAATTTTTATCAGATTTACCCTACCTTTACTACTACTAACAATGACTGAGGCTTGAACCAGCAACCTTCTTACTTTGAGGTGATTGTGCTACCCACTGTGCCACCATGCTGCCAACCCAAAAATAATAACAATTATTATTATTAATTCATTAATATTATTATTATTATTAATATTATTATTTTTATTAGTCGAAGTAGTAGTAGTAGTAGTAGTAGTAGTAGTAGGAGTACAGCAGTAGGATAATTAATTATAAATTATAATGAAGTATAAATAAAAACAAAAATTGCATTTAAAAAATTAAAGAATTGCATTAAAATGGTCATTTAAAACAAAATGCCCTAAGAGAATGAGTTTTGTTTACTGAAACTATTATCACATACAGTTGAAGTCAGAATTATTCGCCCCCCTTTGATTTTTTTACTTTTTTAAATATCTCCCAAATTATTTTTAGCAGAGCAAAGACATTTTCACAGTGTGTCTGATAATATTTTTTTCTTCTGGAGAAAGTCTTACTTGTTTTATTTCGGCTAGAATAAAAGCAGTTCTTTATTATTTTAAAAACCATTTAAAGGTAAAAATTATCAGCCCCTTTAAGCGGTCAACATATTTTTATGTTGAAAAAAATCAACATATTTGTCCAATAGTCTACAGAATAAATGATTGTTATACAATAACTTGGCTAATTACCCTAACCTGCCTAGTTAACCTAATTAACCTAGTGAAGCCTTTTAATGTCACTTTAATCTGAATACTAGTGTCTTGAAGAATATCTAGTCAAACATAATTTGTTGTCATCATGGCAAAGATAAAATAAATCAGTTATTAGAAATGAGTTATTAAAACTATTATGATTAGAAATGTGCTGAAAAAATCTGCTCTCCGTTAAACAGAAATTGGGGAAAAAATAAGCAGGGGGCGAATAATTCTGACTTCAACTGTATAAATGTGTCTGTGCTTAAACAAGATAAAAAATCTGCGTGTGAGGTCACAAAATGCAGATATTTCCCTCGTTTAAGCACAGATTCATTTAAAATCAACGTTTTTGGTTTTAGAAAACTAGGCTGCAAAACAAGACAGGAATGATTTTAATTTTATAGTGCATTCAGATTTTATATCACACTTATTGTTTGTTGTTTATGACCTAAATATTAGCATATGTGTGGAAATCCTAACTCATGCACACACACGCTCCTGCATCCCCCATTACAGTCATGTAGTGGTTCTCCTGTGTGCAATTTAATGCTACTGTAATTTCACTCAGCAACAATCATAAAAACTATACAAGCAACACCAGTGCTGTAGTGAACCCACAGAGGATGTGCAGGAGAAAATCTGCAAAGACTAGAGACGGCCACGCTCACTGTTCATTAATTGTGTTTTTAAATGATAAGACAGGAGTTTAAGTTGATCGACTCATTTAAAAGCGTGCGAGATAAGCCTTCGGGAGGAACGAAGTGTGTCTTAAGACGGAGTTTGATTAGTGCTGTTAATGAGCTCCAGCAGAAAGGCCTGCAGTCGCTCTGGTAGACCAGCAACACTTGCTTTACTCCTGGGCCACAACAAATCACTTGTGTCCTCTAGAGGATGTGTGTGAATTAAAGCAGGAGTTTGCTCATGAGTAGCAGTGTAATGTATGTAAATGCGATGGTAATTGTGCTGCTGTGTGTCAGGTTGTCCTGCTGGTCAGATCTTCAGCTCGTGTGCTGGATCATGTCCCTTCAGCTGTGAGGATCTGTGGCCGGAAAACCAGTGTGTGCCGCTGGACTGCAGTGCTGGGTGCAGATGCCCGTCTGGAGAGGTGAGTGGACATGTTTGTGCTCCAGAGTATTGGCGAGCATTGAAATGTTAAAGTGAATGTTCCGTGGTGAAAAGGGTAAACCTAGTGGGTTTACTCTAAACGAAGTCTGTAGAAACTAGTTTCTTATATGTATCATCTCTGATAATCTAGTCACTGATTTAACAAGGTGTAAGTTGTCAATTTTGAGAATGCAACAGTCATGTTGCATGAGGCCTTTAGAAAGAAACATAGTAGCAACCATATTGAAATGACCTAGCAGCATTTTTAATTACCAACAGCCCCATAGCAACACCCTAGCAACCCATTGTAACAAATTCAAAGCTTTCAGAATCACCAATGGCCTCTTAGCAACAACCTAGCTACCCATTGTAATAAATTTACAGCTTTTTGAATTACCAGCAGCCCCTTAGCAACACCCTAGCAACTCATTGTAACAAATTCACAGCTTTCGAATCACCAACAACCCCTTAGCAACACCCTTGGTACCCATTGTAATAAATTTACAGCTTTTTGAGTTACCAGCAGCCCCTTAGCAACACCCTAGCCACCCATTATAACAAATTCACAGCTTTTAAATCACCAACCACCCATTATCAACACCCTAGAAACCCACTGTAACAAATTCACAGCTTTCGAATCACCAGCAGCCCCTTAGCAACACCCTAGCAACCCATAGTAACGAATTCACAGCTTTTTGAATTACCATCAGCCCCTTAGCAACACCCTAGCAACCCATTGTAACAAATTCACAGCTTTTTGAATCAGCAATACCCCCTTAACAACACCCTAGCAACCCATAGTAACAAATTCACCGCTTTTTAAATCAACAACCACCCATTAACAACACCCTAGCAACCCACTGTAACAAATTCACAGCTTTTGAATCACCAACGGACCCTTAGCAACACCCTAGCAACCCATTGTAACAAATTCACAGCTTTTTGAATCACCAATGCCCCTTAGCAACAGCCTAGCAACCCACTGTAACAAATTCAAAGCTTTTCGAATCACCAACAACCCCTTAGCAACACCCTAGGTACCCATTGTAATAAATTTACAGCTTTTCAAATTACCAGCAGCCCCTTAGCAACACCCTAGCAACCCATAGTAACAAATTCACAGCTTTTTGAATCAGCAATGCCCCTTAGCAACAGCCTAGCAACCCATTGTAACAAATTCAAAGCTTTTCGAATCACCAACAACCCCTTAGCAACACCCTAGCTACCCATTGTAATACATTTACAGTTTTTCGAATTACCAGCAGCCCCTTAGCAACACCCTAGCAACCCATTGTAATAAATGTACAGCTTTTCGAATTACCAGCAGCCCCTTAGCAACACCCTAGCAACCCATAGTAACAAATTCACAGCTTTACGAATCACCAATGGCCCCTTAGCAACACCCTAGCTACCCATTGTAATAAATTTACAGCTTTTTGAATTACCAGCAGCCCCTTAGCAACACCCTAGCAACTCATTGTATCAAATTCACAGCTTTTTGAATCACCTACCACCCATTAACAACACCCTAGCAACCCACTGTAATAAATTCACAGCTTTCGAATCACCAGCACCCCCTTAGCAACACCCTAGCAACCCATTGTAACAAATTCACAGCTTTTTGAATCAGCAATACCCACTTAACAACACCCTAGCAACTCATAGTAACAAATTCACCACTTTTCAAATCAACAACCACCCATTAACAACACCCTAGCAACCCACTGTAACAAATTCAAAGCTTTCGAATCACCAACGGACCCTTAGCAACACCCTAGCAACCCACAGTAACGAATTCACAGCTTTTTGAATCAGCAATGCCCCTTAGCATCAGCCTAGCAACCCATTGTAACAAATTCAAAGCTTTTCGAATCACCAACAACCCCTTAGCAACACCCTAGCTACCCATTGTAATACATTTACAGTTTTTAGAATTACCAGCAGCCCCTTAGCAACACCCTAGCAACCCATTGTAATAAATGTACAGCTTTTCGAATTACCAGCAGCCCCTTAGCAACACCCTAGCAACCCATAGTAACAAATTCACAGCTTTTCGAATCACCAATGGCCCCTTAGCAACACCCTAGCTACCCATTGTAATAAATTTACAGCTTTTTGAATTACCAGCAGCCCCTTAGCAACACCCTAGCAACTCATTGTATCAAATTCACAGCTTTTTGAATCACCTACGACCCATTAACAACAACCTAGCAACCCACTGTAATAAATTCACAGCTTTCGAATCACCAGCACCCCCTTAGCAACCCCCTAGCAACCCTATGTAACAAATTCACAGCTTTTTGAATCAGCAATACCCCCTTAACAACACCCTAGCAACTCATAGTAACAAATTCACCACTTTTCAAATCAACAACTACCCATTAACAACACCCTAGCAACCCACTGTAACAAATTCACAGCTTTTGAATCACCAACGGACCCTTAGCAACACCCTAGCAACCCACAGTAACGAATTCACAGCTTTTTGAATCAGCAATGCCCCTTAGCAACAGCCTAGCAACCCATTGTAACAAATTCAAAGCTTTTCGAATCACCAACAACCCCTTAGCAACACCCTAGCTACCCATTGTAATACATTTACAGTTTTTAGAATTACCAGCAGCCCCTTAGCAACACCCTAGCAACCCATTGTAATAAATGTACAGCTTTTCGAATTACCAGCAGCCCCTTAGCAACACCCTAGCAACCCATAGTAACAAATTCACAGCTTTTCGAATCACCAATGGCCCCTTAGCAACACCCTAGCAACCCATTGTAACAAATTCACAGCTTTTCAAATCACCAACGGCCTCCTAGCAACAGCCCTGTAGTAAAACCCTAGCAACATTGAGGAATCTTCCAAGAACATCCTGGCAACTAAACCAAGACATCTTTACCACAGTAACTACCAAATTGCCGGCTGTCATGATGTTGGTGGTTTGTTTAGGCAAATGTACTCAGTGAGTTTTCTTCATGAATGTTGAATTGTGGTCAGTTCTGATGGTACAGTAATACTTGAATAAAACACTCAGGTTGAGGATTGTCACATCTGCTCCTGAAGGCTGGTTATTTTGGGCAGTGTTTAATTCTTCAGTAATTCCTCTGGAGCGTTTGGACACAGATGGCTGTATTGTCCCTGGAGCAGCACTAAATGAGTCCTGTTCTCCATCTGCAGGTGATGCTCAACGGGACGTGTGTTTCTCAATCCCAGTGTCCGTGTTCAGTGTTCTCGCTCCTGCTGGAGTCTACAAACAGCACTCTGGATTTCCAGGATCACGAGGTTCCAGCCGGGACCGTCATCCCCAACTCCTGCAACTCATGGTACCATACCTGTCAACCCTCCTTTTGTTTTCTCCTGTGTTCTATCAACCCATTTACATGTGTTTTCTTATTTCTCCCTTATTTTAAATTATTTTATGAATGATGGCAGCCTACCTGTCAACCCTGCCATTTTTTTCAGGGTTCTTCTGTATTTTACAAATATATCCCACTATCATCCTGTACAGGTATTTCCTCCTATTTCTCCCAAATTTTCAATCAAAGGGTGGCAATAAACATTAAAGAGCCGATCCTCCCTATATGTAACCCATACAACCAAACCACCAGGTGGCGCCCTTGCTCTTAAACGTGAATTTGTTCTTTCGCTTCATTTAGGCATGAAAACACTTTTATAAATATAAAAATGTCCGTATTCACTTCCTTTCCATTACAGGCACCTTCGCCCATTCATATGCAGTCTTCAAAACAGTCTTATAAGCGGTGCAACACTGTCAGATGCCCTTCATAGTGATAAATAGAAGCTGTTTACCAAACAGATTCTGTACATGCGGTTAGAAGCAGAGCAAAAGTGAATACTCTGGATTTTGGGTGCATGTTTGAACAGACATATACACATAATAATGTAAGCATGTCGATCCTGGTGGGATTTCTTTTTAACCTCTTAAGGCCTTGGTTGTTTTTTTAGATGCATTTTTATTTTTCTTTGCTGTTTGGGCTTATTGGAACCTAATTAGAATAAAAATCTAAGTATCATCTTTTGAAATGGTGAAGTTTTAGAGAAAAACGATGGCCATATGTGTGGACTCGTGGTCCGAATTTACATAAAACACTTTTTCCTGACTGTTTTGTAATGCATATTTAACATATGCATATTTAATATTTATAATATATATACTTATATACTGTATATATATATATATATATATATATATATATATATATATATACTTTCAAGAAACGACTAAAATCTCAACTATTTAGTCTCCACTACACTTCCTAATCTGCAATTGCCTCTCTGAATATCACACTAACTGTACCCAAAAAAAAAAAAAATAAAAAATACTAATACTACTAATACTTCCCTTCTTAGACTTTACAGACCTGAAACTTGCCTATAGCACTTATTCATTGTTGCTCTTGGTTGTGTAAATTGCTTCCTTGTCCTCATTTGTAAGTCGCTTTGGATAAAAGCGTCTGCTAAATGACTAAATGTAAATGTAAATATATATATATATATATATATATATATATATATATATATATATATATATATGTGTGTGTGTGTATATATATATGTATGTGTATTTATATATATATATGTACCTGTTTGTGTTTAATTACAGTGTCTGTGAAGGCGGATTCTTTACCTGCACTAATGAGTCATGTGACGGTGAGTCATGTGACCTTAAACAGGGAGTTTAGCAGAAGCTTCCTACTACCCCTTTTAAACATGTTTTTTCTTTATGTAAATATAAGCTTTTCTGTGTGTACACAGAAGTGAAATGTGTGTGTTTTTCTGTGTGTGTGTGTCAGTGGACTGTGAGTGGAGCAGCTGGTCCTCTTGGAGCTCGTGTTCGGTGTCCTGTGGCTCTGGTCAACAGTTCTCCAGCCGGACGATACACCGCCAGCGGCAGTATGCAGGACAGGAGTGCGAGGGTCCCACACACACCTCACAGACCTGCAGGAGCCCCGAGTGTGGTGAGAAACACAGTAGAGGGTTTGTGGGACTTTACACAGTGTGCACAGTCTGGGGTTGCTGTTTTTTT